GCAGCAATACAGCATTTTTTGCAAGCGCTCGGCAAATAATTGCTTTCAGCGAGCGCTGGCCAAACTTTCAGCAAGCGCTCGGACTCTTTTTAAGCATTTTCGGGCGTACGTCGAGCGGAGGTAAGACTCTGTGTGGCAGAGGTATCACCGTTGGTTTAATTACTCAAGTTTGAGGTACTTTCTCCCAGCGGAAAGTACCTGGGGGTTGCGCGGTCCTCCACAAAGGACCGGGCGGCCCCGAAATTTTTGCATATTCTCGCGGAAAGTCCGCGAGAATGCGGCCACTGCGCCGCAGCTAATCCATAAAGAACATACATGTGAAAAGGCGATAATGTGTTCCTACCCCCTTCACCCCAGGGCCGGAACCCAGCTGACCCCCCTTCACCCACGGCCGATGAGGAACTGGAAAAAGTGAGACTAAGAAATCAACATTTTAAGCAAAATTATAAAACTATCGGCATTATTAAAATCAGATTTAGTGACTTATTATGATTGCCAAAACTTACTTGCAGGCTCATGAGAAGTAACGGGAAAATTGCCGCCTATTGTTCACTTCTAGAGAACGATGAAAAAGCCTGGAGAAAAATTTACGTGTGAAGCCTTTGTGTACATACGTCAATGAAGTTATTACTCACATATTTGCTGAAATAGTAAATGAAATAATAAATGAACTTTGATGATCGGTGCGCAGTTGAATTGCATTCTTTTTAAGAGGTATAAATTTTCTAAGCAGATGGCGCAATCCGTGGAAAGTCATTGAATAATTCCTTGAAGAGTCATTGTTCTAACTTTTAATATTATTTCTAAACTCCGAAAGAGATCGTAACATTTGCGTAGAAAAGCAGGTGCAATAGAGGCACCTATTACATCCAAGACTTTGTGTAATCAAGGTTAGTCTTACTGTCAAAATCCTATAGCTACGAGGATCGTGGAATTCTACAATCCGCCTACTTGGACGATGATAAGGACGAGGAAGGACAGCCAGAGATGCATTTTTCTACGTTGGAGCACTATACAAGAGGAGAAGGACAATCGTATATGATCACTGCGTGATTATTCTGAAAAAAATTTTGTTTTACATCGAAGAAGATTGAGAAATATAAAAGATCTTAGAAGGAGAACTCAGTCATAATTAGCCTACTCTAGTTTAGAAGTCTACTTTCCATCCGCTTTCAGAAAACGTACAGCTTGCCAGGAAAAAGAGGGGTTTTTCCTGCTAAATAGAAATAGTTTTAGTCATTTTTTCAAAATTGTAGAATTTTTCTATAAAAAATTGTAGATTTTTGATATGAGAAGATAAGAGAGTCTCTAGCCGTATATTGAATTACTCTTGTTTAAAGCTTCCAGAAAATGTATAGCTTACCAAGGAAGAAAGGATTTTCCTGTACTGTGAAGGTGGTCGCAATTGTTTTTCGAAAATTAAGGAAATTTTTTTTATAAAAATTCATAACTTTACTACACGAAAAGCTAGAAGAGTGCTTTGCACTCTATTGGAATTCCCTCGTCGTCCGCTTTCAGGAAATATATAGTTTGCCAGGAGAAACTATCGGGTGAAAGGGGTCGCAGTCTATTTTCCGGAATTAAACCAATTTTTAACTTTAAAAAATCATAACAATTTTATATGAGAAGCTGGGAGAGTGATTAGGTGTTTGTTGAATTCCCCTCGTTCCGCTTTCAGAAAATATATAGGTTGTAGGGAGAGGGATGCTAAAAGTACCTGGTGAAAGGGGGAGGAACATGGTATAATGGAAATCTTCCTTTCTGTACTCAAAAAGCGTCGTTTTAAGGAGCTAAAGGAACATGCCCATTATACCATGTTCCTCCCCCTTTCACCAGTTACTTTTAGCATCCCTCTCCCTACAACTTATATATTTTCTGGAAGCGGACGACGAGAGGAATTCAATAAACACCTAATCACTCTCCCAGCTTCTCATATAAAATTGTTATGATTTTTTAAAGTTAAAAATTGGTTTAATTCCGAAAAATAGACTGCGACCCCTTTCACCCGATAGGAAAATCCTCTTTTTTCCTGGCAAACTATATATTTCCTGAAAGCGGACGACGAGGGAATTCCAATAGAGTGCAAAGCACTCTTCTAGCTTTTCGTGTAGTAAAGTTATGAATTTTTATAAAAAAAATTTCCTTAATTTTCGAAAAACAATTGCGACCACCTTCACAGTACAGGAAAATCCTTTTTTCCTTGGTAAGCTATATATTTTCTGGAAGCTTCAAACAAGAGTAATTCAATATATGGCTAGAGACTCTCTTATCTTCTCATATCAAAAATCTACAATTTTTTATAGAAAAATTCTACAATTTTGAAAAAATGACTAAAACTATTTCTATTTAGCAGGAAAAACCCCTCTTTTTCCTGGCAAGCTGTATGTTTTCTGAAAGCGGATGGAAAGTGGACTTTTAAACTAGAGTAGGCTAATTATGACTGAGTTCTCATTCTAAGATCTTTTATATTTCTCAATCTTCTTCGATGTAAAACAAAATTTTTTTCAGAATAATCACGCAGTGATCATATACGATTGTCCTTCTCCTCTTGTATAGTGCTCCAACGTAGAAAAATGCATCTCTGGCTGTCCTTCCTCGTCCTTATCATCGTCCAAGTAGGCGGATTGTAGAATTCCACGATCCTCGTAGCTATGGGATTTTGACAGTAAGACTAACCTTGATTACACAAAGTCTTGGATGTAATAGGTGCCTCTATTACAATTGCTTTTCTACGCAAATGTTACGATCTCTTTCGGAGTTTAGAAATAATATTAAAAGTTAGAACAATGACTCTTCAAGGAATCATTCAATGACTTTCCACCGATTCCGCCATATGCTTAGAAAATTTATACCTCTTAAAAAGAATGCAATTCAACTGCGCACCGATCATCAAAGTTCATTTATTATTTCATTTACTATTTCAGCAAATATGTGAGTAATAACTTCATTGACGTATGTACACAAAGGCTTCACACGTAAATTTTTCTCCAGGCTTTTTCATCGTTATCTAAAAGTGAACAATAGGCGGCAAATTTCCGATGTACTTCTCATGAGCCTGCGAGTAAGTTTCGACAATCATAATAAGTCACTAAATTTGATTTTAATAATACCGATAGTTTTATAATTTTGCTTAAAATGTTGATTTCTCAGTCTCACTTATTCCAGTTTTTCTTCTTCGAATTTCAGGAGGTAGAACCCAATATTCGACTTTAACCCGGTTTGGCAACAATTTCATTTGATGCATGTGAATGAAAAGAACATGAGAAGCAATGATGACGAACATTGCCCTCCCCCCCGGTCGACGCACCTCCACAGCCGCGGCCGCTCCCCCCCCCCCCTCCCAGCGGCCCTCATACCCCCTTCACCCTGGAGAGGCGGGACCCCTATGACCCCCTTCACCCTGGAGAGGCCATGTTCCCCCTTTGCACACGTATGATAAAGAAACCGCGATTGTTCTTCAAGCATTCGTCTTTAATTTCGCCAACTTTCTTCCAAATTTCTGCAAGCGGGCGGCAAAAAATCAACGAACTATTTTTCCGGTGCGCGCTTGCTCAAAATTCGCATGGCCGCCTGCCCCCGGCGGTTATCTGAGTGGGACCACCTTAACTTTTGGTGGGCCCGGCTCCCCCATTGCACCTCTGGTCATGATTAGTAGGGTCGAAAACTGTCACAAACAAAAGCAGGATCTGCGTGCAATCGGCACGCAACAGTTATATTGTTGGATCATCGCGAAGCGATGAAATTGCGCGATTTATGCCCGCGGCCTGAGCGAAGCAGAAGGGGAAAAATCGCTGCATTGACGTGTTGAGATAAGTTGTCGAGGTGGCTGCTGGAGACTGCAGTGCGAAAAGGCCGTCTCTGACAACATGCCGTCGGTTCGTTGACGGCACGGAGTGGACATAACTGCGGAGCACGCGCCGCTCCTCCTCAGATAATCGCCGGGGGCAGGCGGTCCGCAAACTCGCGCTTTTCTGCAGGCGGTCAGCAGAATTTTGGGGCGTGGCCAAACCTTCAGCGGGCGGTACTTCCGCGTTCTGCCAGCGGGCAGCAATACAGAATTTTCTGCGAGCGCTCGTCAAATAATTTCTTTCAGCGAGCGCTGGCCAAACTTTCAGCAAGCGCTCGGACTCTTTTTAGGCATTTTCGGGCGTACGTCGAGCGCAGGTAAGACTCTGTGTGGTAGAGGTGTCACCGTTGGTTTAATTACTCAAGTTTGAGGTACTTTCTCTCAGCGGAAAGTACCTGGGGGTTGCGCGGTCCTCCACAAAGGACCGTGCGGCCCCCAAAATTTTTGCATATTCTCGCGGAATGTCCGCGAGAATGCGGCCACTTCGCCGCAGCTAATTCATAAAGAAACCGCGATTGTTCTTCAAGCATTCGCCTTTAATTTTGCCAACTTTCTTCCAAATTTCTGCAAGCGGGCCGCAAAAAATCAACGAACTATTTTTCCGGTGCGCGCTTGCTCAAAATTCGCATGGCCGCCTGCCCCCGGCGGTTATCTGAGTCAGTACAAATCGCCACTGTACATCGTGTTCTCGCAACGCTTTAGCCCCGCGCGCGTGGTCCGCAAAGTTTGAGCGGACTGTGCGGTCAACGAATCGACAATAGATTGTTGACAATTATGCGTAAAGGAGAATGGAGTCATGAATGAATGTGATAATAAAAGAGAAAACGCAAAAAGGTGGATAGCTAAGGGAGAGGGAGGAGGGAACTGCCTCCCATCCCTCGGTCTGCCACTAGTGCTCGGGCTGGTTTTTCTAAAAGCGGCTTTTTTGAAATCCATATAAGACTACCATGAGAATAAAGAGGAGTCATTCTTGTTCCACTAGTAAACTTGAAATAAGCCAAATTTCCGAAAAAAACTTTTTTTTGGTGAATTGATGCTGCGCAGTCTACGGCTGAAGTGTTTCGTGATCTGCATTTTTAGTCGATGTCATTGGTAGGAGCGAGTGATTATTTTTTTTTTGAATGATTTGTTTCCTACCCGTTAAGCTTTCCAGGTAATGGTCATGAGCGACACATTCTTCGGGTTCAACAAGTCGCATGTCATCATGGCTGCAGGACTAGCAGGTGCTGCTTTCATAGGATACTGCATTTATTTTGACCATGCTCGCAGATCGGCGCCGGATTACAAGGAGAAAATTCGAAGAAGTGGGTTTACGTTCAGGAATTCATTTTTGTGATGACAGTAGGCGTTGCGGCGTCCTTTCCTTTTAATGATTTTTGAAATTTCGAGCGAATGAAATGAATGATTTCGTTCTTAAAAGGTTTTTGAACGAATGATTTTTGAATAAATGGTTTTCGAAAAATTCTCAAATGAACGAATATCATTCGTTTTCCGATTTTCATATTACTCGAATTCGAATATGGGTACATTCGAAAATTCGGACTCGAATGTTCGAATAACCGAATAGGGTAAATTCGAAACTTGAACTTGATCGAATATTTGACTAATCAAATAAATGAATATCTGAACATTCAAAAGCAATATTCGAATATTCGAATGCAGTATTCGAGTATATGAACAATGTTCGAATATTCATTTCCGAACAACTGTTTTTCGAAACTTCTTGAATATTCGAATATTCGAGTACCTAAGTCACTTTTTCAAGTCCTCGAATAAACGAATTATTTGAATACAGGCCCTCTCCATTTATTTGACTACTGGAATAATGTAATAAATGCACTTTCTCGAATATTCGACTATTCGATGTCGAGTGTGTGATCGTCTCCACGATTCGTGTAGAGGTGTATTGCAGACTTTGCTTGATAACACAGGTAAACTTGTTAAACCTCCACGTCATAGCATTGTTTTTTGTACTCTCTCGCTATCAAAAACCGCCACCCTTTGAGTTGGCAAAACCCTGCCTCTACACGAATTGTGGAACCGATGATAGTGGTCGAATATCTCGAATAAATTATACAATACTAGTTGGCAAACCCGGCTCCGCCCGGCCCTGTCAATAATATATTTGTAATCAGCATGCTCGATTACCCCCCCCCCTGTGCCAACTCCCAGACCCGTAGCTCAAATTTTGCAAAAAAATCGATAAAATCGATATCCATCGATGACGAAAAGTAGCCTATGACACCCGCCGAAGACCGAAGTGTATGTGTGCCAAGTTTGGTCCGGATCGGTTCAGAAATGGAATTTTCTATTCGGAACATACGTACATATAAGATATATATATATCATGTCAAATATACTTTGGACCGAATCGAATGATTATTCGATTATTCGAATAAATCATTCGAATGCGAATGATTCGAAAATTCGAATATTCGAAAATCTGAGATTTCGAATAATATTCGACAGTCGAATATTCGAAAATTTTCATTTTCGAATATTATCCGAAAGTCGAATATGCGAAATTCTCAACTTTCGAATATTATTCGATAGTCGAATATTCGATGGTCATTAATTCGATCATTCAATGTCCATGGAATATTCGAATTTTCGATGAGCACCGAATATTCGAAAATTCGATAAGAATTGACTATTCGAAAATTCGAAGCATCGAATATTTGGAAATTCGATATCCACAACATATACGGGGTGTCCCAAGGGTAAGTACAAACTGTTCGATCGTTAATACCTCTCACGAAGTCTTTTGCCAACCTTTAAGTAACATCCTAAAGGGATGGCTTCAGCTTACAAATACAGCAGAAAGCAAATCACCTTTTTCTTGTTGTGTTATCACGATATGAACTTAGCATATAGAGCAAGTGCGAAATGAGACGTCCAAAAGAGTTTCCTTAACAAAAAAGAGATTTCAAATCTATGTAGCAGGATTATACGTGTTTAACTACGCGCGGCCTTTCAAGCCTTTTAAATGTGCATTCTCTTTTTTGAAAAGCGTTGGAAAACATCTGTTATGGTGTACCTGGCTCTCAATGAGGATAAATAATCTATTTGAATTTTGAAATTTTTTTACATCACGTACGCTTTCAGGTTCTTAAAGGCAGCATCCCAAAAGATGGGTCTGGGAATTTGTGGCGATGTTAAATTGGACCCCCTACCTAAGCGGTGACGAAGTTCGGAGCGAAAAAGAGGGCCTGGTAAGCTTGATTGCTCTCAAAGTGTGGCCCGTCTTAAGGCAGGCCCGAATGCCGCCCGTACAGCGAATTCGAACTGCAAGGCCAGGAATGCATAGCGCACACAGTCATGACTGCAGGGTCCCGCAACGACTCTGCGTCTCTACCCTGCATGCATCTCGTACTCAAGAGCCTACCGTAAGATGGCCACTTCGGGGCATTCAGGCCTGGTAGCCCCCTTTTTCGCACCGAACATCAGTCATCGCTTAGGTGGGGGACTACTTTAACATCGCCACAATCGGCACCCATCTTCTTGCAGGGGCTGCAACTGAACCGTTTTCTTCGTTGTAAATTGAAACATAAAAAAATGTCTATACCTGAAAAAATTTATTCTGAGATGTTTTGGTCTCTCACAGGTAGTCTCACTGGCATAATATTCGCATAGTATTCGAAAATCGAATGATATTCGAAAATCGAATATTATTCGAGAACCGAATAATATTCGAAAATATCGAATGGTATTCGATATTCGAATATTATTCGATTCGAAAACTTCCATTTTCGAATAATATTAGATAGTCGAATATTAAAACTTCGATTTTCGAATAAAATTCGATAGTCGAATATTCGAAGTTTTCAATTTTCGAATAATATTCGATAGTCGAACATTCGAGAATTTCGATTTTCGAATATTATTCGATATTCGAATATTCGAAAAAATCGAATTTCCCAAAGTATAATGCAATCCTAGTCATAGCCATGATATCCGTCACTGCAACTACAAAGTAGGTCATTTTTTCCCTACTTTGCCCGCGGCGATGGTCTCGCGTAGGCACTAGAACGGCTGATGCCTGAAATGACAAATAAGAAAAAACGATGTGAAATGCTTGAATCAACAAAAGAGGTTAAAAGACAGGGATGCTGCGAGCTACCAAGTCCCCGCGCGCTGCAGCGAACTGTTAAGCTGGAAAGGCTCCAAAAAGGCACGCCTGCGGTGGTGTAAATGCACGAATCGGGCGGTCGTCGACAGATATCCTTTATAAGCCAATCACCAATCAACAAAGTCGGTTCCCTGTGACGCTCGTGCGAACGCCGCTTTCAGTCATCCATATTTGGAGCCAGTACATCTCGCATGTCTCGCATGTGCGAGCATCCGCCTTCTTTTAGGTAACGTTTATCAGCATATTGCGGTAATTAGATTTGGCGCAACCTGCATTATAGTTGGAACCGAATATTCGTATTCGAATATGTTGATGTCGTTATGCCAATACAAGGTTTGCTGAAGCCTTTTATAAATGCGGCCTTACGTTTCGACTTATCGTCTCTTCAGAGGCCTCAGCGCCGCTTCACCGATGGTGCACTGGTGGTACTGTGCAACCCATTTTGACGTGTCAGTAGTGCCAATCGACAATTGCCAATTGACACGTCAAAACGGGTTGCACAGTACCACCAGTGCACCATCGCTGAAGCGGCGCTGAGGCCTCTGAAGACGACGATATGTCGAAACGTAAGGCCGCATTAATAAAAGGCTTCACCAAACCTCGTATGGGCATAACAACACAACATAATCATGCGACATGCCGAGATTTCAAGAAAAGAGGACGATCAAACTATTGACTAATGTGCCGCCATCTTATATATAAAGCTGAATGTCTGTTTGTATGTATGTCTGTATGTATCTGACATTATACTTGGGGAAATTCGAAATTTTTTTCGAATAATCGAATATCGAATAATATTCGAAAATCGAAATTCTCGAATATTCGACTATCGAATATTATTCGAAAATTGAAAATTTCGAATATTCGACTTTCGAATATTATTCGAAAATCGGAAATTTCGAATATTCGACTATCGAATATTATTCGAAAATAAAAACTTCGAATCGAATAATATTCGAATAGAATATCATTCGTTATTCGAATTTCGAATATTATTCGGTTCTCGAATGTTATTCGATTTTCGAATTTCATTCGATTTTCAAATACTGACCGAATAATTTACATCATTGAGACTGCCTATGAAAGGCCAAAACGCTAAGAATAAATTGTTTCATGTAAGTAAGAATGGACACATTCTTATGGTACATTTTACGATGGAAAAACGGTTTAGTCGTGACGTGATGGGACTTAGGAACCAAGCTACTCCTATGACGGTTGTGAAAAGATTTTTCGTATTTTAAAGAAGATTATGTACCCTCATTGAGAGTCGCGATTGGATATACAGCGGTCCCAACAGTATATAGATCTGTAGGCTGACACCAACTTAGAGTATGGGGCGATTTATCAATCGCTTTTCACTATTGTAAAATTACCGTAAGACTAAAGTGGATTTCAAAACACCAAGAGCCATTTCCCCTAGAAAAAGAATCAAAAGGGCTGAAAGTCTTGCTTTAGGTTTCTAAAGACACTCACTTTAGGTAGAATTTGCACTCAACCGTAATGTTTTTTTCAAAACTTACGCCAGGTATCCTGTGTCCCCCAGAAAAGTTCCCACGTGAATCAGCTGCGTACGTGGTGCGCTGCCTTTCGCTCTTTTTGACACGTTTCTCCTGAGTTTTCAACGGAAGTGCCCGAGGTTAACACGTTCAAAATAGCGAAAGGCAGCGACATAACGTGGTACCTATGGAAATTTTGCTAGGGAACAAACGATACACGGTAACAAGTGTTTTGCGACGCCTTTCAAAAATGTGATTGCCATTTGAAAAGCTTGAAAACTCGTGCGTAGTAGAATCAGCATACGTAAAAACACTGCTGCGCAGATTTTAGACCTTTTTTTGGAGACAATTTTTTTGGATGTCTTATTTTGCAGTTGGTCTATAAGCTGGAGTTTTCTACTGTGATAACACACAATAAGAAAAACACGGGTGATTCGCTTTCTGCTGTTTTTATAAGCTGAAGCTATCCCTACTGGATGTCACCCAGAAATTGGCAAAAGACTTTGAGAGGTATTAGCGATCAAACGGTGTGTAGATATCTTTCGATTTGTTGTTGAACGGTGGCCAAGATTGGTATGGTGACAATTTATTACTTGGCTAACGTTTCGGCGCCAACGCCGTCTTCAGAGCCTGTAACCAAAAACGTATGTGTATAGTGCCCACTGAGTCCTCGTTACCG